AGCAAGGAGCCCCCTTCCATTTTTAAATTGCAGTGATTTAATCACTGGACAGGCCAGCAGCAGCTTGTGGCACCCAGGGCTGCTAATGGGGGAGGAGGGGCAGCTACCCCAGATTCTTTAAATCATCGTCACAGGGCCCTGGGCAGTACAGGCCTGGCAAGGCAGGAGGGAGTCTAGTCCCACCCTTTCCACTTGGGGCCCTCCCCCTTCTGGAGCCCCAGAACCTCTGTCGGCAGCTTTGCCTCTCTAGTGCCTGTGCTATTCTCTGCTCCAAACTCAACCATTCACCAGCCTGCTCTGCCCTCCCTCCATGGGTGAACATGCCTCTTCCTGCCCTCCACCACACATGGCCACCAGCCAATGCCCTTTGACATAAGTAAGCAATTGTAGTCCCTTTCAGGCATCACTGATGTTAGCAGTCCAAACCTGCAGTTCCCTCCCCCTCTCCAAGCTTTCTTCTTTCCTTCCTTGCTTTGTAGCATTGGGGATCTTCTCATTAGATCAGAGACGGGGCCATGGGAGTTAAAGTCGTCAGAGCTGAGCATTAGAGATGGGATGGGCTACAAGGAAAAACACGATCTGAACTGGGCCTCCCCTTGTCAAATGGGCTCTCTACCCAGGGGTTCTCAACCCTTCCAGACTACTATGCCCCATGCAGGAGTCTTATTTGTCTCACATACCCCCACGTTACACCTCATTTTAAAACTACTTGCTTATACCATGAGATATTAAAATATAAAAGTGTTTGGGGAGAGAGGTTTCTATTGATTTCTCTCTAGAAAATTGAATTCCAGCATCAGAATATATTTAAATATTGTTCATATTAATCTCAAAAGATAAAACAGAACCATAGAAATGAAGGACTGGAAGGGATCTCACTAGGTCATCTAGACCAGTCCTCTGCACTGAGGCAGCACTAAGTATCATATAGACAGATGTTTGTCTAACCTGTTCTTAAAAACCTCCAACACCACAGATTCCATAATCTCCACAGGCAATTTGTTAGTGCTGAATTACCCTTACGGTCAGGAAGCCTTTCCCCTTTTTCTGTATTTCATCTGAAGGCTATGTCTACACTGCACTTCACAGGCAGTGGTGCGTCGGCTATGTGCAGCTACACACCACAATGAATAGCAAGCTGCACCATGCTGCAACGGGTAGTTGTGTGTCGGTGAAAGACTCTAGCAGAGGAGACAGAGGGGAAAGGCTGCTGGATACAGGGAGCTGCTAGAATCATGCTCTGCTACTTCCATCTTGCCAGAGGCTTTTTGTGCAGCTGGAGCCTTTCCTTGTGGCCAGAGACATTTTTCACTATAGAAAGCGGTAAATAGCACAGTCCCCCAAAGATCAGTACAGAAACCTGCATTGTTTAACAGTAATACATGATTTGGAAAGGGAATAAACAGTGAGGTGGCAATGTTAGCAAACAATAGAAACAAACAATAGAAAATTACTGAAGGAAGTTGCCTCTAAAGAGTTACAAATGGAAATCCCAAAACTGGGTGACCAGGGAAGAAAATGACAGATGAAATTCAATGTTGATAAATGCAAACAAGTGCTCATTGGAAAACACAATCCCAGCTATACATACAAAATTCCATTAAAAGTAGCTGTTGCCACTTATAAAAGAGATCACAGAGTCTGTATGAATAATTCTCTGAAAACAGCTTCTCCGTGTGCAGCGGCAGTCAAAAGCTAACAACATTAGGAACCCTTAGGAAAAGGAACCGTAATAAGACAGTAAATATCATAATGCCACTATCTAAGGCCACGGTACACCCACAACTTGAAAAGCGCATGCAGTTCTGATCATCCCATTTAAAAGACGTACCGAGATCATCCCATTGGAAGAAGTACCGAGAAGGGCAACAAAGATGATTTGGGGTATAGAACAGATTCCATACAAAGCAAGCTTAAAAAGATTGGTACTATTCAGCATGGAAAAGAGACAGGAATGTGACAAGGTCTATAAAATCATGAATGATATGGAGAATGTAAATAAGGAAATGTTTTTTATCCCTTCATATAACACAGCTGGTCACTCAATGAAATTAATAGGTAATAGGGATGTAAAATCCTATTTAATCTGTTAACCAGTTAAACATTAGGTTAATCTAACATTTACCCAGTTAACCAACTAAGCAAGATCCCAGGTGGGGGACCACTCCAGACTGGCTGGAGAAGTCCCCAATCTGTGGGGCTTCCAATTCCAGCCTCAAGTGGGGCTGGCTGCTGGCTCCCCGCTCCTGGCCCCAGCTGCACAGGGTTGGCTGGTTGCCTGTTCTCAGTTCCAAACCCCAGATGTGCAGGGTGGGCTGCCACACAGGGGCCCAGTGGAGTGGAGCATCCCTCCGCCCATGGCAGGCCGCAGGCTGGGGACTGCTCCTGGGGAACCAGTTAACCAGTTACCTGTCCACATCCCTAATAAGCAGCAGGTTGAAAACAAATATCAGAAAATACTTCTTCACACAGCGCACAATCCTCCTGTGGAACTCCTTGCCAGGGGAGGTAGGGAAGGCAAAAAAAATATAACAGTTTAAAAAAAAGATCTAGATAAATTCATGGTGGATAGGTTGATCAATGTCTATTAGCCAAGATGGGTAGGGGCGGAGCTCCATTCTCTGAATGTCCTTAACCTTCTGATGCCAGAAGCAGTCAGGGCATATGTAAACTACATCCCTCTTTCGAAAGAGGGATGTAAATTAGATAAATTGAAATTGCAAATGAAGCTGGGATTTGAATTTCCCGCTCTTCATTTGCATAATGGCTGCCGCGCATTCTTTTGCAAAAATGGGGATTTCAAAAGTGAAACCTCTGTCTAGACGCGGTTCTTTAAAAAAAAAAACCCAAACCAAAACAAAACAAAACAAAAAGCCCCACCCTTTTTCAAAAGATCCTGTACTCCTCGGAAGATCTCTTCCACAAAAAGTTCTTGCGCAAGAAGCCTGCAGTGCAGACATAGCCCAAGGAATGGAGCTCTCAGTAAAATGCCCTGTTTGGTTCATTCTCTCTGAAGCATCTGGCACTGCCTACAGTCAAAATACAGGATACTGGGCTAGAAGGACCCTGGGTCTGACCCAATATAACCATTCTTATATTCTTATTATCATAGTGCTTAGAAGACCAAGCAACAGACCAGGGCCTCATTGTGATTGACACTGTACAAACATAGACCAGCCAAAAGCTACAAACATCTCTAGGAATACAATGTTTTGAGATGCAGGAGTGGTGCAGATTTCACATGAAGCAAGCCAATGCATTCAAGCCTCTGGTTGTTTTGCTAAAATGTTCTTTAATTGCTGGATTTTCGGATTATTGGATTAGAAGATTAAGTGGGCTGTCTGAAAATCTGAATTCTGAGCATGAAGTGGAGAAAGACTTTTCATGAATTAAAGTGCACTACCTCTGTAAACCTTGTAGTTTGTATCAGTTACAATAAAATTGTCCAAAAGATGTTTTCATTCTCAGGCACAGAATATGCTAAATACAGCCTCTCTGGGGGCAGTTCTAATAATACTTGTAACTGACAGGTGCCCATATACCTTTCTTCTAAAGAATAACTCATGGACTTGTATGTTTCAGTAACTGCTACCACTACTGTAAGTGTGGGTCCATAGACCACTGAGCTTCCTTGCCCAGATGTTACAATAGGAATCTGGTCTTTCATCCAACATTAGATGGTGCCCACTTCTGGATGCATGAGTACCACCTGATTTAATTACAAGTGATGAGAACAGCCCTGATTTCTATGGTACTCACATTTACAGCCATGCATGGTGCATTGTCAGGTAAATGACAGCTCTTTATGCTCCTATAATGATTTGAATTCCTATTAACCTGAAACACGTTGCACAACTCTGGACTATAGCAGGAATTGGCAACACACAGCGCTTAAGTGGCACACGGAAGATGATTTTTTGTGGCTCGCGCACCACGGCGTAGGGGCTGGGTGGCTTGGCAAGCAAAGTGGGCAGCATGACCCTGCACTGGGGTTCACGTCCCTGGGGTGTGCAGGTCCTGGGAGCGAAGGGGTTAACACTTCCCTTCCCCCACTACAGGCTCTGCCGCCTGCTCCGGGAGGGGGCAGGGCTGCGGCTGCTCTGCAGATTGGGGTGAGGCAATTTGTCACACAGTGCTGCTGCCTCCAAGGGGCACTGGGACCTGGGCTAAGCCAAGGTTGCTCCCTGGGGGCGGTGGAGACCATTCCTCAGTGCCCCGCTGTGCCCAGCCGGGGGCTGGAGACAACCCTGGGCAGCCCCAGCCCCTGCCTGCCCCAGCCCTGGAGCCCCAGCCTGCAGGTGAGGGGCAGGGCTGGGCCAGGCAGGGAAGTGACTCCGCCCCCCTGGCCCTTCCTCCCCCCAGTGCTGCTCCCAGGAGGGCTGCAAATCCCAGAACTGCTGCCCTGCCAGTGTGTGTACAGGGTGCACAGGAAAGTGGGGACTAGCGGGGTGTGTGTGTGTGAAGGAGGATGCGGGGGCAGGATGGGAGGGGAAAAGTCTGGCACTGAGGGGGATGGGAAAGTTAAATCTTGGCATGCCACTTCTGAAAGCTCTGGGCTATAGTTTGGTTTTTCCTGCGTAAGTCAGCCAGTATGCTAGTGTTTGTGGTCCTTGCACACAACAGGGGCTGCTGTAGCTTGGCCAGAAGACCCATGCATGCTGAAGAGAAAGTCTTTCTCTGGGTATGACCAGGACCTGTATGTCTCCCTCGCCCCCTTCCTCCCATCTTTCACATGTCATCTAGCTAGCACCTATCTGGGAGGGACTGAGCGTTGCAGACCTGGAAAGTGTCATGGCAGGGGGAATGACTCCAGCCAGTGCCGGTGCATTCACCTTTCTGTGGCTCTGGCAGTAATACAAGTATCGCATCTTCAATAATATGCTATTTGCTGCAGGAAACGTGACAGACAAGTTATCAAATGGTGGACAGCCCATGTGCACCTGTGAGGTAGGGGAGCTTTGAACATGCAACAGTGGAGCAAACCCTTGTTCTTATTACAGGTGCCATGGGACTGAACATGTCCACAGAGAGCAGAACAGACTTCAGCTTTTAACATCCCTCCTGAAAAGCCCACATGTGTAATTGCATGGAGCGCAATTTATTTGACTCAGAAGGACGGGCTAAGTTGACCCTGCTGGGATTTGTTGGACCAGAGAACCCAAGTGTTTCAAATGTGATGCCTAGCAACATAATGACACTGTGCTACTCCCTCCAGGGCTGGTTTCAGAATTAGTAGGAAGGTGCCTTTTAATCACATACATGAAAGAATCTCAAGTCACTAATTATAATAAATTTGGCATCAAGTTCCAGGAAGCCTCAGATAATTCTACAAAACTAAGAAATTCTGTACATCAGCACTGTTGCAGGAACAGTGCTAGCCACATTCCCGAGCTACTAATTCTTGGAGTAATTGTCAGTGTTTTCTTACAAAGTCTGATTCTGTCATATGATTATTTTTTGGTACAGGAAAATTGCACTGTAAAAATGATCAGTTCCATTATAAAATCAGCCCTATTGAAGTGATCAGATGTGATGGTAATTGAGGCCACATAAATACCTAGAAAAGGGACAAAAATGTGGGTTTTTTTCATGATAAAGCATTTAGTTTTTTCAGGGAAAATATGTTGAGGGTGAAATCTTTGCCTTGTTAAAATCAATGGGAGTTTTGCTAATGCTTCACCAAGGCCAGGCTTACACATCTTGTTCAGTTGTAAATCTTGTCTGGATGTAATGTATTTTTGAACGGATCAAATTCTATATGCAACAAAATACAAATTTACAAAGTAAAACTGTAGCAGTGAAACAGTTATTTCACTTGTTTCCTTCTGTGTTTGGCCACAGAGCTTTACTAAAGAGAAGTGCTGTCACTAAATTTCCATTACTAAACAAATTTCATTTTATCCCCAAACTGTCCTACTTTCTTTAATCTGAAACTTCCCGCAACAATAAATGAAAGTGAACTGATGTTTAAACTAGGACCCGATAAAAAGGATTGCATTACCTGACCCAGGGTAAAATAACTAGTTAGGTGGTGTAACTGATTGGTGTTGGGATACAGCCATTCACTGCTGCTGCAGCTGTTTCTCAACCCAGTACTCATGGACAAAAGTATCCATTTCACAGAAGCCTCTTTCATAACTGACACTCCCTGATAGCCCTGGCTTTACTAGTCTTTGTGTACACTTCAAAAATAAAGGCTTGAATTTTCACCCAGTGATAACAACAGTGGAAGCTATCGTGTAGAAAGGATCTACAACTCTCCTGAGAGAACACAGCCTTTGTTCCTGATTCTGTTGGCACTTCAGTCAGACACTGGCATAGAGAATTAATTTAGGGTAGGTCCTCACAGCAGCATTATTTCGGAATAACTGACATTAATAACAATGAGTGTGTCTACACTACAAGCCTTTATTTTGAAATAAATGTCAAGCTAGAGGACTTCTTACGCTAATTCATGTTAACCCTCATTTTACAAGTCAAAAGAAGAGTGTTCTTCCTTCGACTTCCTGCTGTGTAGACATCACCTAAAGCCAAGTTAAGCTACTTCAGCTTAAGCTATGCAATTGATGTAGCTGAACTTGCGTAGCTTAATTCGACTTTAGCCCTGCCAAATGTACCCTGAGAGAATATTCATCATGTATACCAGTAAGTATGACAAAATCCAGTTTTACCCTTTGTTGCTCTTGTCATAGATAAACCAGGGGATACGTTACCCTTTTATGTATGAAAACATTTTATCAAAAGTTGTATGGCAAAATCTAGGACCCATGGCTTGAGGGGAAGGTACAAAAGTGGCTTTACCTCAACTGTATCCCCAGTTCCTGGAGTCAGCCATGGGTCAGTTCAACTTAGCAAAACCTAGAGCAACTGCAGTGTTATAACCAGTTGTAACAGGCATTGTATTAGCTGAGGATCATAAGACTACACTGTTCCAGGAATATCCCCTGCTCTGGGGGGTTATGAATGGGATGACAGAGTCCCCTATACTGCTCTGTCACTCAGTCATTCCCCCATCTCCAACAGGGGATTTCCTAGGAATCAAGTTAATGTGACTACTTGACTTTATGGCCCTTTTGCACCAATAGAATGGCACAACGTACTGTATGGAGCTAAGATTCTAATATTTCTCTTTTTCAGATATGTGGAGAAAAAGACAGAAAATAAAAATGCAGTTAAAATTTTAGCAATTTGTGGCCTGGATTTTGCCATTTACAAACACCATGGCAGTAGTTGTAGCAATCAAGGTTATTCTCTCAAGAAACAATTTATGGTTTCTGTAGCATTCTGAAATCCTCAGCTAAACAACATCAAAATGGATTATAAACAAAACCGAGTTTCTTTGTAACAGATCATCATGCAGCTGTACTCCACTTTTACAGCAACCAACTAGCAATTAATTTGAGTGACATCAGCAAGCAATCCCCAGATTTCCGTTAATATCATATGACAAGCTCATAATCTCTCCAATTTAAGAAAACTGGCCTTACATTCATTTGTCATCTCTGGTTTCACTTACAACTGTAACCCACAAATACTCAGTACCTGAGCTCTATTCAAAGCAACTATGACAATTGTGCATGATGAGTCAATTAAAGTGTAATGTATTGTTTTTCATTATGCTAATATTAAGGTGTTCCTACTATTAAACTTCACTATATAGAGAATTCATGTCTATGAAAATACTGTCTATAAGTGGGAGAAGGGGGAACCTTCAGTGCACCAGCTGCATGCAGTTTGTCAGGGTTAGCCCCTGGCGGGCCGCCAGACAGTGCGTTTAACTGAGTGGCCACAAGCTCGGCCGCTCACAAAGCCAAGTGGCTGTAGGTCATGGTTCTCGGTCAGTGGGAACTGTGGGGAGCAGTGGAGACTGGGTCACCACTACCTGCAGCTCCCAGTGTCTGTGGACACTCAGGCAAACAAACTGCCTGGTGGCCAGTCAGTGGCCTGACCCCTGATCTGTAAGGATCAGGATAGGTCAAATTTTTAAAAGCAGCTCTGTGACTCAGCAGCCTGTGCTCCTTTTTCAGAGGAGACGGAGCCCTGGTCTATACTACGAACTTACATCAGTATCGCTGTGTTACTCAGGGGTGTGGAAAACTACTTGCCTACAAAACTGGACATTAAAATACAAAACTGTCCCAGCACACAGTTACTGACAAATTGCTGACTCTCATTTCTACCATATAATTATAAAATAAATCAAATTGAATATAATTACTGTACTTACACTCCAATGCACACTACATAGACCAGCATTAGAAAGTCATGGTATGAAGTTTTAGTTTGTACTGTGCTTGCTAGTGCTTTTTATGTAGCCTGTTGTAAAACTAGGCAAATATCTAGATGAATTGATGTGCCCCGGAAAGGACACTTGTATCTCTGGTTGATACTTACTGGTGTAATGAGCACAAGATAAAAAGGAGTCAACAATGTAACACTGTTGCAAAAAAAGCAAAGAACATTCTGGGATATATTAGCAGGAGTGCTGTAAAAGTCATGAGAAGTAATTCTTCCATTCTACTCCATGCTGACTGAGCCTCAGCTGGGGTTTAGGTCCAGTTCTGAGTGCCACTTTTCAGTCACGATGCGGTCAAATTGGAGAGGTTCCAGAGAACAGCAACAAGGGCTAGGTCTACACCCATGATCCTCAATGCGGCGCCCGCCGGGGCATTTATGTGCGCCCACCTAGTCAGGGTCGCAACGTGGGATGGCCGGGGGAGGACTGGCCACACACACTGCGGGGCCAAACTCGCGCTGTGATGGGGCATGGGAAAGCACCAGCGGGCGAACCTGCCAGAGAGTGTGGTGGGGAAGCTGCGGGAGCAGGGCAGCCAGTCCGGAGCAGCAAAATGGCCATGGTGGGGGGTCTGGTGCCGGCGCAGGTGCACTTGGCACAGGACTGGCCAGTTGGGCAATGCAGTGGGATGATGTCACCCACCAGTGCGGCTCCTGCCACACAAAAAAGTTGGGGACCACTGGTCTATACTATAGTCTTTTTTTTTTTTGAAGAAAAAAAAAAGCTACACAAATTGCGCTTTCCAATTTGCGTAGTTTTTTCAGATTGCTTTTCTGCCATTTGGCCCCGTCTATATGGGGCCAAAATGGAGGAAAATCCTCCTATTTCAGAGGAGCTCTTATTCGTCCTAGAACTAGGTAAACAGGGCTCTCTGAAAGTGCGCTTTGCAAAAAAAAGCAGAAGAGCAAATGCATTCCCTGAATATGGAAAAGTTTTTCCAGGATACTTCTGGTATCCCAGAAAACCCCCACAGTCTAGACGTACGCAAAATTATTAAAGGTCTAGAAAACAAGACCTATGAAGGAAGACTGAAAAAAAATGGGTTAGTGACTCTAGAGATGAGAAAATTGAGAGAGGACATAACAATTTTCAAGTACGGTAGGTAAAAACTTGTTACAAGGAGGAGGGTGAAAATTTTTCTCCTTAACCTCTGAGGATAGGCCAGGAAGCACTGGGCTTAAATTGAAAGTTGGACATTAGGAAAAACATCATAATTGTCAGGGTAGTTAAGCACTGGGACAAACTGTCTAGGGAAGTAGTGGACTTTCTGTCATGGGGGATTTTTAAGAACAGGTTAGTTGAACACCTGTCAGGATTGGTCCAGTTGTTATTTAGTCCTGCCTTGAGTGCAGGGATTGGACTAGATGATGTATTGAGTATTCCTTCAGTGCTACAGTTAGTCAATTCTAAGAGTCTGTATGAGTCATATAACACAAAATTTGCCCATATTCAGCATTTCATGTGGGGTAAAATTTTCAAAAATGTCTATGTGATTTATGAGCCTATTGACTTTCACTAAGCTTAAAGCTCTTAAGTGCCCAAGTCATTCTTTAAAATTTAATCCTTAGGCTCTTATGACATTTAAATGGTTTTCAGAAGTTTACCCAACTCCATTATACACTCACTGTAACATACACTGAGCATATGGTGCTCAGTGTACTTAGGGAATAATTGAATATGCATATTGAGAAAGACAATGTATTGATCTTAACTTCCCCAAAACTTTTTCCTGTGCATATTCTGCAATAAGATAATTTTCTGCCTGTTGGTAAGACCATCTCAAACTTCTTTGCTATTCATTTTCCCCTAACCACACTATGAACTAAATGAGCATGATGTAGTTTTACAAGCAACAAGTCTGAACTTGGCATGTCTAAGTTTGCTGTTAATTTAGGAAAACTCCAGTTCCTGGCACATAAGATCTGAGTCTGCCCAGTGATTTTTGCTGCATTTATACCTGTGCAGAAAGGAAAGTAGCTTCTGATTTTACTGCTTATCAGTATTTCATAGACAGCTGTGATAAATACCTGCTTAAGTGGAGGATGAGTTAATGTGAATGTATTGCAAATAATTGATAGGAGAGACTAGAACAAGCAGCCTTTTTTAAGGTGATTTCACTAAATGAGGGTATGGCAGTTTTTAATCCCGTCATACACTGTGGGGTTTTTAATTGTCAAGTGTGGAGACATTGTATGAAAGACAGGTAAAAGAATGGTTTAATTAGGAAGATAGACAATTGCTTTATAAGATCTTCAGTTTCAAAACTTAATGTAAAAAGATGTCATTAATTAGAGTCAAAATAATCATGATGACTGAGGAGGTTTAATGATTTGATGTGATGTAATTGGGATCG